GTGTGTGTGGGGGTGTGTGGTGTGTGGTGTGTGGGGGTGTGTGGGGGGAATGGTAGAGATAGAGTGAAAAATGTTCTTTCAACAGCTAAAGAGGAGCAGAGAAGCTTGGCATGGCTGATTGTTCTGTTGTTATTTTGGCTAATCTGGGGACTCCATTTCTTAGAATCCTTGTTACATCAGGTGAGAGTTGGACAAAAGAGGAAGGTATTGGTTCCCAGTGAAACCCAGTGGCATTGGTTATTTAAGGATAGAGGGGAAGGTGTGATGCAACTGTAAAATTGTGTCTCTTTTGGTTGCCTGGTTGGTTAACTCTCTTTCTAAAGAAAATGCTCCATTTCCTGAGTTTCAGTGGGTTCTAGAACCCATGTCTCCCAGTTGAGACTGAAAACACCGGACCCTCACTCCTTCCAGCCTATAGGTAGTCAGAGCATGGGTGGGGCAGCAGGTGCACGTGGCAGGCTCAGCCAATCAGACACAGACTTCCTGGTCTAAGCTGGGGAGCCCCTAAAGTTAAGAAGTAAGGACTGACTGGGTGCTGTGGCTCATACGGGTAATTCTAGCAGTCTGAGAGTCTGAGGCGGGCGGATGGCTTCAGGCTAGCAGTTCATGACTAGCCTGGGCAACACAGCAAGACCTGATCTCTAACAAAAAATAGAAAAATCATCTGCGTGTGGTGTTGGGCACTTATAGTCCCATCTACTTGGGAGGCTGAGGCAGGAAAATCAATTCCAATGTGTGTGAGGCGCATGGTTTAGGGAACCAGGGCCCTTTTGGGGGAAGCAGGATTGTAAAGGGGGAGGGCCCAAGCACGTGGCCCCAGGCCAAGTGCAGTCTTGGCCTAATGTGGGGATGGGCCCTGGAGTGTAAATTGAACCACAGAGATGCCCCAAGACAAGGGGCCAGCTTTTCGTGTGCCTAAATCAGGCAGTCATTTGCTACCCTATTGGTGGGGGTCTGACCTTCCAGGTGGTTTCCAGAAGTGGCCTGCTAGCCAAGGGCAAATGTCTGGAGGTGACATCTGAGCCCCATCCATCAGCAGGGCAGCAATTGGGGATGGGTGTGTTGGCTTGGAAAGTGTATCTGGGTGGGACACCAATAGTGTCTGCAACAATCATTTTAAAAAGATTTTTTTGTCAGGCAACCCTCCTGCTCAGCCTCCTGGGTAGTGGGTAGCTGGGATCATATGCACGTGCCACTGTACCCAGTTAATTTTTAAATTTTTTGTAGAAAAGGGATCTCACTATTTTGCTCAGGCTGGTCTTGAACTCCTGGCCTCATGCAATTGTCCTGTCTCAGACTACTGAAGTGCTAGGATTACAGGTGTGAGCCACCACACTTGACCTAAGGAGTTACTAAAAATGAAGACGTGAAAAGCAAAATGCAGGACTTGCCCTTTCGAGGCTCTTCTTCTCTTGGCCTC